TGACCCTCAGCTGAGACAGGCTTGTTCTCAGGCCGAGAAACACAGCACTTAGTCACCAGGCCATCCCCACTTAGGGGGGTGCTGGGAACCTCCCAGTGTGAGGTGGGGGTGAATGGGCAGGGCATCTACCAGCAGCCCGAGGCAGGGCTTGGAACTGGGTGGGGGGCAGCATCCTCCCATCCGGGGAATAATTTTTTCCACTTGATTAGTCAGGTCATTCATTTGTAGAAACGTTGTACATCCCAAGAACATAAAATAGTAACGAAGGTTTTGTAATCTCCTCTCCTTATACCATTAATTCCTGACCCCTCGCCCCTGCTGCAGGCGGGAGGGGATCGGTTTGAGCTAAACTGGGCGGGGTCGGGATCGGGTGGAGCGGAGATGGGGCGGGGGGAGACGCGGCCCAGTTTGATCGGCCTCCCGCTCGTATCTGAACCTGTCCAAAATGGATGTCTGAGATAGGCAAAACGGGGCCAAGCCTTTATTCACACCCTAGTTAAGTTAGTACGGGGGACACCGAGTGGTTCATGAACTTGTCAGATATGGCCAGTGGTGGGAGCCAAAGCTCCTCACACTCAGAGCTTAATGAGCTGAGTCAGGGCAATGCAGAGCTGGGGCAGCCGTCAGCTGGAGGGAGAACAGAATGGGTGTTCCTCAGCTGGAGCTAGACAAAGCAGGACAGTCCAATGTCTCAGCTGCTGCAGGTCGGGAGGGTCCACCGGCAGGGGAGGAAACAAGATGAGGGCCCCTGGGCTGGACCTGGAAGAAATGGGAGGGTTGAAGGTGTCCCAGAAATGACATGGGGCTGCAGTGCCCATCAGGCAGAGCTGGACACGAGCCCCTAGAACTAGAAGAAGCAGGAGCATCTCTTACCTGGTGGGAGTGGGAGCCGCAGCAAGGCGGAGGGTCCGTCAGCACATGCGAAAGGCCAGGAACCTGCCACCCAACACCCTCCGCTGAGAGAGCGCTGCCTCGGGCTCAGGGCGACGGGACCCCAGAGGGGCCCTAAGGCAGCTCTGGCTGCCTGAGACCCATACACTCCAAACCTTCAGTGCCACCAGGCACAAACCCAGCACCCGCCCGAGACGGGCACATACCGATGAGCCCAACCCTTCGCAGGGGTGGTTTGGTCGCTCTGCACGACCATCTTCTCACCCCAATAAACCTGCGCTCCTCGGGATCGGGTTGCCCCAGCATCAGGCTGGGGCACCTCTACACTAAGAGAATAAACCCCCCATGGTAACTGCCCCCCTGGGCAGCCTCAGCTCCAACCCTGGCCGGTGAGAACAGGCCTCGACAGCAGAAAGGAAGTGGGTCCATCAGTGGGAGCATCTCTGACCTGGAGCTGAGAGGAAGAACCAGAGCTGCTGTGGGGCCAGGGCATCCATCAGCCAGCACGAGCGTGGGCTGGGGCTGCCGTGGGGCTGGCATGTCCGGCAGTCAGGGCTTAACAAGCGGGAGCCTCTCTCACCTCCAGCTTGTATCATCTGGAGCTGAGCTGCCACAGGGCTGGAGCTGAAACGCCATCCATGGGGCTGGAGTCGAGCTGGTGCTGAGCAGGTGCTGGGACAGCTGCTGGTGCGAAACTGGTGGAACTGGTGTGGGAGCTGGGGCTGAGTGAGGGGCCTGCCCCGGGCTGTGGGTTCAGCCCCATCGGGCAGGGCCTTATCCCAGCTTAGGGGCTCAGCCCCAGCCCCATCCTGTTCCTAATCCCTCCTCATTGCTGATGCTTGGGAGGCCCAGTCGCCTCGCGTGGGAGGACAGGGATG